CATTATGGGCAATGCCACAACACGCATAGTGATGTGAATGCAATTTCACAGTTGTTTGTGTGAGCATGGCGGTGGATCACATGGATGGTCAGGTGGTCCTCGGCGGCCAGTTTCTCTCATGATCAACACACATATACACAATTACTGCAGCCCTCAAAGGCGGAAAGTGAGGGGAAGAGTTGCTTGAGAATCAATGAGGTGTTTGTTTACTTCCTCTACTGGCTGGGTTGACGTTAGATCATGAGGCTTCTTGAGGACCGACCAGCTGTCTGGAGTTTGGTGACTGACCAAAGTTCTACAGTACCAGAGTGTTTGGATGTGTGTTCACTTTAGAAAGTGTTTGTATTTTTTATTTGTAGTTAATACTGTAAAAGAGGAGAAGTGCAAAAACGTCTCAGAACTTCGAACTGCGTCCTCTAGGGGTCGCTATGGGGTACGGTATACCCACGCCACCATGCTGAGGGGAGTGCATATCAGAAAACCACGGTGAGCACTAAGTACCAGCACGTGCTTTCAGATGGAGCGGCATTTACTACACAGAGCACTAGATCACTGACAAGCTACACAAAATCGCGTTCAAAATCGCAGGCGATCCATTGCCAATTTTGAACGCGAATTTGTGCAGCTTGTCAGCCATGGGAGTTGCACCTAGGACACCTTGAAGGCTCTCAGTGACATTATCCTATCCGGCCAAGGGCCTGAGCTGCATACCCTAAACAACTTTCCTGATAGTGGCTGAGCTGGGAAGCCCAAGCCTAGGGCAGAGCTCAAGGCATGGAATCAAAAGAAAGAGATTCATTAAGGGGATACGGCCAGGTGTCTAAAAACCAAAACAGACCCTGGCCTGCCACCAAGGGGGGCTACCACCGGTTCTGAATGAACCTGCTCAAAGAACTGACTCGACAGGTCTTTGGTAGCAACACCCTGCTCATAAATGTATCAACAGAGATACATTAGTTGAGTGGTGCCCAAGGCGATAACCGGGGCCTAAGCCAACTCAGAAAAAGGGAACGAGGCTAACAGCGTGTAACCCTTACCATACAGGATTTTAGAAAGTGCGCTGAATGCTTAGCGTGCACACTTACCACAATGTGAATTTTAGAAAGTGCACAGAGGCTTAGCGTGTGCACTTACCATAGCATGTATTTAGAAACACGGTTGCTTAAGGGGTAACCGAGACCGAATTAAGCCAGCCTAGGGGCCCTATGTGACTGTGGCACGCTCACAGAACAGATTCCGAAGCATCTGCTCAGAGATGCCCAGATGGGAGCGGCACGCTTGCAAGAGGCCCTTCATGATGAGGGGAGCACAGCTAGCTCACTTAACAAGCAACCCGCCAGGGAGGCAGGCGATGGCCCAGCCGCCTGGCATGATTGCTATACGGAGCTCAAAAGAGCGGAGGCCAATATTCAAAAAATAGAAGAGGGACTCGACGCTCAAATCGAGAGGGGCGTGCTCATATGAACCCCCAAGGGCATTGCTAAGCTTGACCCTAAGGAGAGCGGCTCAACAGGAAGGCAGAGAGAGGTCTAACAACCGGAGGCCGCTACACAATGGAGCTCAAACGAGCAGAGGACTTGAAGAGAGAGGTCCACAAATGCTCAGACGAGAACGACAGGCTCAAAGACAACCCTCTGAGGTGAGGGGAGCACTGCCTGGCTTGACCCAAAAAGAGGCAGCTTATCAGGGAAGCATCAAGTGACCCAACTACCTGATGTCACTGCCACGGAGCTCAAGAGCGGAGGGTTCAACCCCTAGCGAGGAGAGAGAGGAACCCAACTCGACCGAAGCGACCAATAGCCCAGGGTAGAGGACCTAACTCTCGAGTCGAGAGGAGGACTCACCCAGTCTGCCCAGGACCGGCGAGCTCAAAGGGACCCTCCCACAGTGAGGGGAGCACAGCCATGTCCGGGGGCAGATAGATCGCATAAAGGCAACTGACCAAGGAGGCGACAGAGACGGGCCTAACAATTAGTTAGTTGCAAATGGGGTTCTTCAGGAGCAGCGCTCTCAGCTCTCAAGCTGAGGCAGGCCCTTACAGCACTTACTGGGAGCAACTCATAGCTAACACTCAAAGAGAGGGGAGCACTTCTCAGCTCGACCAGAAAGGGGTGCTAGATTAGAAGGGGTAACCCAGCAGGGCCCAATAAGAGACAGTCCACTGGTGCAGCTGGACACGGTCTCATGCTCTCTATCTCAATAGAGAGCGTGGGTCCCGTATAACCAGACCCGATAGAATCTGAAGAAATAGCAGGACGCAAAAACCATTCATGTGTATAGAGTAGGGATGTCTGAATTGTTTAAATGTGTAGAATCCACATAAGCTTGTTTTTCATCAACCCGTCAAAATTTACAGCAGGGCATGCTAATTCGGTCCATTTTAGGCCAGACAGAAACTGCACACAGGCTGAATGTAAATATAAGTCTCTGTAAATCCACTCACTGACAGCAGGTGGTGCTTATGGAAAAGCTGTTTCCCGTAATCTCCGTAGACAAAGCAGCAAATCGCGGTAATCTAATACGGTTTTAATGATAATTAAAAGATGAAACAGTAATACTAACCGTGGGGAATTTTATCATGATTTATCGTCAAACCGGTAAGCGTTACATCCCTAGTATAGAGCTTACTGCTCCTCAGAGCAGAAGCACAAAAGAGGGGCTTCCACAGAAACACAAATCCCTCTTACCTCAGGAAGCGCGGTGTACTCCAGCCCACTCTGCAGATGGGTGATTACTGGTTCAACCATAAGGGCAGTGTGACAGTGAGGACCCACGGACCCGACCGTCTATGGAGCGTTGAGCTCCTCAACGCCTCAGCGAGAGTAGCTCTAGCTCAGAGAATGTTCATGAAGGTTAAGGAATGACTCAAATCTCGGGAGACCCCTCAGGGTGAGAAATGAGTAGCGCTCCCTAGCTCTAGGTCAGAGAATGTTCATGAAGGTTAAGGAATGACTCAAATCTCGGGAGACCCCTCAGGGTGAGAAATGAGTAGCGCACCCTGGCCAGAGGATAGGGAGCATGTCACAAAGCATGTACTCAGAAGAGTACTAGCCCATGAGAAGGACCCGCAGGTCCTGAGGTTGCAGCATTATACTGGGGACCTGATGCTGGGAGGCTTCCTCAGAAGCCCAGGCTGCGTGTCCAAGCCGAAGATGAGGGCTATCACCAGGGCTGGTTCCACAAGCTGATGAGTGAAACCATCACTGTAATCGGTCAACAGCAGGAGGTCCTGACTTAGCAACTGGGTCAAACCTAAAAGTCAGAAAAGAGAAAAGGTCCGAGTAGTGCTGCAGAGAAAGACTAGCATCAAATACACAAGAACTAGCAGTAGAGTAGATGAAAATGGATTGTACTCACCAACCATTGCTCCCGCGCATGACTCAGGCTCATGGATATAGACTGGAGGCGAAGTCCGAAGCCTGGACCTTCGTGGAATGAAGGATTTAAAATCCACCAGACTCATCCACAGATGTCTCTCCGTAACCACCATGGCCGCCATGGATCTGCCAATGGCAGTGGCTGCCTGCTTAGTGGCACGGAGAGCAAGATCCATGGTGCGACGCAACTCAGCCACCTCATCAGGGGATAGACCCTGGCCTTTATCCAGGTCTTTCAGCAGATTAGCCTGATAAGCCTGAAGCACTGCCATGGTGTGCGCGGGGCTGCAGCCTGACCTGCTACCGCGTATGCCCTGCTATTCAAACAAGATGTATCCTGAAGGGGTTTAGACGGCAGGGAGGGAGCCTTAAGAGAAGATGTCTCCCCCATAGAGAGATAGCAGGCTAGCGTCTCTTCAACAGGGGAATCTTTTCATAACCATTACCTCGGAAATCAAGCAAGAACGGAAACCGCTGCCGCGAATGTGTTGCTATTCCCGCGAGAGGCGAACGCACTCATGTAAAAGCTATCTACAAACTCGGGTAAATGGAGAAGTACTCACCTCCCCCTCAGTAGTCCCGCGAATGCATCACGATGAGCACAAGCCGTCTCGTCGTGCCAATGTTATTGTCTTTTTTAGATGTATGCTTCAGACACCGGTCACGCTGAAGGCGTTCCCTATAGCGACCCCTAGAGGACGCAGTTCGAAGTTCCCTCGAAAGGGAAGAATGATTGTTTTCAAACAGGTTTCCTTAAACATGCCAACTGTCTGCTATTGGTTGGATTAACAGGTTAGCCTCGCCCATTGGTTGAGCCGATGTTACTATGTCAAGCTGGTGATATACCAAAATTGGCATAGACAGTGATAAAAGCTTGATAATTCAATTTTAAATAAAAATCAATTAATGCAAAATGTAATTTGCCGGTCAGTACAATTTTTTAATATAGCCTATTTCAAAGTTTTAATGCTCACTGAGGCTGCATTTATTTGATCAAAAAATATTGTGAAAAGAGCAATATTGTGAAATGTTATTCAAATTTTAAATAACTGCTATTCTATTTGAATTTATTTTAAAATGTAATTTATTCCTGTGATGTCAAAACTGCATTTTCAGTATCATTACTCCAGTCTTCATTGTCACACGATCCTTCAGAAATCATTTTAATATTGTGATTTGGTGTTCAAGTAACATTTCTTATTATTATCAATGTTTAAAACAGTTGTTCTGCTTAATACTGCTTAATGTAAATATAATGCACTATGATTTTTTGTATTATTTATCAGGGTTATTTGATTTAAAGAAAATAAAAAACAGCACTTATTAATAATACTTATCTTGAAAATTTTTATGTGTTTTTGCTGAAAAATAATTTTTTTTTTAATATATGTACTGACACCGAACTTTTTATTTTTCTTTATCCATAGGCGACATATAAACTGACTAATATTCTGATAAAAAATAAATACAAATATATAAATACATACATGGACACACATAATACATGCATATATACATACATACATTTATAAATAAATATTTTAATTTAAAATATATACACATTCAATATTTTATATATTAACATTCAACTAGCTTATTTTTCCATGTCATTTTACTCTGCAGCTGCATCATCCAATGAAAATGAGGAGAGAGTGTTCCGTGAGCGGATGCGTCCACGCAAACGTCAGGGAGCTGTCCGAAGGCGCGTCCATCAGGTCAACGGTCACAAGTTCATGGCCACCTACCTGAGACAGCCCACCTACTGCTCCCACTGCAGAGATTTCATCTGGTAGGACCCTCAGCGCCCCTCACCTGTCGCCCTTTATCTAATTCACAACAGCTACGTCTATCCAGGACTACCTTTATTATAAGATTCCTTTCAGACATATAAAAGCTTTTGTTTATGTAATTTTCCAAGACAATGCATAATGACACCTGATGCTAATCACAGGCACTCCTCTTCTTTCCAACAAAAGAGTTTTAATAATGAATATTAATATTGAAAGCAAATTAGATCAACTGTTCTTTATGCTTGTGTGGAGGGCCTAAATGGATGCATTCATAGATTAGACAGATGTTTATTTTTATCTCTGCAAACAGTTCCTTCCTGCAGAGTAATAACTGTTAGGTCTAACTATTTGCTTACCTGGTGAATAGTGCATCTGTGTGGCTCCACACAATGCTGCTTGTTGCCGCTGACACAATCAGCTGTAGATGCAGTGTCTTTGTTGCAACACAATGTCCCCTCTGCTGGTCAGAAACAGAATTGCACAATCTTGCTGTATGCCACATACAATATCTAACACATTTATTTCACTCTGGTTCTGCAGGGGTGTATTGGGAAAACAGGGGTATCAGTGTCAGGGTGAGTAAGAATCTTCGCTTATATACAATGACAATAAAATCAATTATAATCTTTCCTCATTTGATAATCCAATCTTTATCTTTAGTGTACCTGCGTGGTCCATAAGAGATGCCATGAGCTCATTATAACAAAATGTGCTGGCTTGAAGAAACAGGAAGACACTCCTGAAGAGGTCAGTTCTACATTCTTGCTCTCTCAAGCTATGTTTGAGTTTGCATACTTGTATTAGTTTCTGAAGTATGTATACTACACGTTATGACCTAATACATTTGCCAGTATGTTCACAATTATCACAACAGAAAATAATGTGAGGAATACTGTTTCCCAGAATACGATGCACTTATCTTGACCTTGTTTTTACAGTGTGACAAACGATATCAGCAGCATTCTTCTTTCTTTCTTGTCATCTTTACTTAAAATTTTGTTAAAATATAGTTGTTGTATTACTGAGATGGTAGCGGGACACCACACATAATATAACATAATGAGATAATGTGACAGCATTTTGTAAATGTACTGTAGGAAGATCATGAGGACTTTTTAAAATGTTAAATATTGATGCATAATGTGTAATGAGACTAGGGCTGCCCCCTAATAGTCGACTAATTGTTAGTCGACCAGAAGAAGCTTGGTCGACCAAAATTGTATTAGTCGCTTAAAAAAAATCCACAGGCGATTTCACGCAGTCCGTGACGGACAGATCGTTAACGGCTAGTCTTTGGTAATACAGTACATCGGGCAGGACATCCAAACGCTCGTCTATCATTCATCGACCTCAAATATGGCTTATCATCTGAAATATGTAAGTAGCCTATGAGCAACTTTTCATGGCTGCTCAATCTAATGTTAACCTAGAGAAATGTGCGCTGTTCAAGTGTTTGTGCGGAGTGTGGAAGCTGAACAGTAGCTCACTGCAGGATGGAGGCGCCGGTGCGCTCACTTGATCTTAAAATACTTAAAATAATTTTTGGTCATACAGATAAATGCAGTACATCTTTCGAATCTGTAAAGACTCTACGTTTATTTGTGTGTGTATTTGTATGAGCACAATACCGCGCTTATGTGAAAGCAAACAGGATGCGCTTTCTGCCATCTCGGTCTGTGAATTTGAGCGCGAAACTCCGTGTATATATTTGCCTTACAGACATTAAAAATATATCTATATCTATAAATGTCTACTTTAAAATGAAACAATTCAAATGGAAAACAAATTGTCAGATTATGTAATCCATATGAAACATGCATACAGGCGCATCACTACTGCGGAGATGATGAGGCAGTGTCGCCGACTTCATCTCTGAAGCTGAAAACAAAGAAAGCACTAGTTTATCAAATTATTAAAATGTTAATGCAGTCTCCTTAGTGTTTTTCACTGACATATTCATAATCATTACTTCTGCCGGTGCGCTGTGGCAAGCTTTATGCGTGTACTTGAGCGCTTATTAGGCTATGTAGGCAATTAAAGGCTCATTATAATGATTAAAATGGTTTATTAATAAGCGTGCGATTAGTCAACTAATGCTTCAAATGAACGACTACTAGTCGACCAGAAAAATCCTTAGTCGAGGACAGCCCTAAATGAGACACATACTATTTAATTTTTTTTAGAAATTGTAGGTAGTGTACTGTACAGTGTATACTGTGTTGTTTTTCAGTATGCTAGTATTCTAACTAGCCCATGCAATGCTATTTTAATGTTATTTTGATATTAATTAATAGTATTATTATTGTATTATTTTTTGTTTTCGCCATCTTTATTATTTTTTTTTTCTTTTATATTTATATTTACCTTTCTTTTTTAAATTCCAGTTTTAGTAATTGTAGTACTTTAGCTTAAACTTATTTTATTTCCGTTATTTGCCAAGGCAAGATTTTTTTAATTTACCTTGAATTTTTCGGTTTTAGTTTTTCCCATCTAAATTTATTTAAATGAAATAATAAACAAATAATTTAGTTAACTAATAATGAATCCAGATTTTTCATAGTTTTAGTTAACAACACTGAGCCTCATGTGCCTAAAACTACTAAAACCTCTGCAGTATTTCCTCGTCAGAGTGATCAGTTGAATTGTGGGTATTGTGGCATGAATGACGTTTTGTTTTTATAGGTTGGCTCCCAGCGCTTCAGTGTAAACATTCCACACATGTTCAGCATTCATAATTACAAAGTCCCCACCTTCTGCGACCACTGCGGCTCCTTACTTTGGGGACTGATGCGGCAAGGCCTGCAGTGCAAAGGTAAGTGTTGTGAAAAATCATTTTGTTCAAGAATCTAATGTTATTGCAATGTATTCATTTCTGTCTTCTCGCCTGTTTTCAGCCTGTAAAATGAATGTCCATCGACGCTGTGAAAGTAATGTAGCTCCTAGCTGTGGTGTCGATGCCAGAAAAATTGCTAAAGTGCTGTCTGATCTCGGGGTGACGCCAGATAAGATCTCCAACAGTACCCAGCGCAGGAAAAAGGTGAGCGATCTAAATATCTGAGGAATGTGGGGAGGCCAGATTGGAGCATGGGTTGATGCGGTAATCTACAGCCCACAAGCAAATGAGTTACGAAATATTGTTGCTCTTATCACATGAGAAAAGCACATTATAATGGGGCACATTATAAGCAGGGGGGGAAAATTAAAGTATGATCACTTTAAATAATGATGCAGTAAAATGAGGCCAGTGACAATTGTGACGATGATGGAAAGGATTAGAGTGAGAAAGGCATAAAAATATTAAAAACATTAGTAATGATATTAAAAATGTTCTCTCTTTAGTTGACTCCAGGGCAGGACCCTCAGCAACCCACAACAGAAGTCCCCACATCAGAGGAATCTGACCGATGCAAATCAGCTCCAACTTCACCTTGCGACCAGGGTACAAAGTTACACACACTCTCACACTCTCTGCAATCTTAGTCTTTCATTACTACATATTCATAATTTATTTGCACACTTAATGGGATAGTTAATCCAAAAAGGAATATTCTGTCATTTATTGTTCTAAATCTGTACGTGTTTTTCTTACGTGGAACACAAAAGGAGAAATTTTGAAGAATGTGCTGGATGCTCTTTCAATTTTAATTTCAATTATATTCCTATTACAATGAATGGAGCTTCAAAAGTGATTTAAAAGCACAATAAAATAAAATCACTGCATTTGATTTTGTGTGAATTTTGATTTTGTGTGATTTTGTGCTTGGACCATCTTTATAAGTTTATCCAGTATCATTATTTAAATTAAATGTAATTTCTCCTTTTGTGTTTTAAGGAAGAAAGAAAGGAACTCATACAGGTTTAGAGTGTGAGTAAATATTGGCAGAATTATCATTTTTGAAAGAATTATTCCTTTAAGTCTAATGTTAATGTTTGTCTATTTGTAGCGGAGCTTGCAGAACTGGAGAGTATCCGCAAGGCCCTTTCATTCGGCCAGGAGCGCAAGTCTTCCTCCTCTTCCACAAGCAGTGGCGTTCAGAGCACAGCGACCGAGGGCCGGGAGAATGGAGATGTGGTGACTGTCCAGACGAAGAAGATGAGTCTCACCGACTTCTCATTCATCAAAGTGCTGGGCAAAGGCAGCTTTGGCAAGGTGAGTGTTTTTCACAAATCAGTACTTTTCAGATTTGCTATAGGAATCAACATCTTCACCTTGCCCTTTCCATGCTGTAGGTGATGCTGGCGGAACTGAAAGGCACAGATGAAGTTTACGCTGTGAAAGTATTGAAGAAAGACGTCATCCTTCAAGATGATGATGTGGACTGCACTTTGACAGAGAAACGCATTCTAGCCCTGGCTAGAAAACATCCCTATCTAACCCAGCTATTCTGCTGCTTCCAGACAAAGGTAAAGCAGTCACTAAACCAAGATCCGATTTCCCGCTAATCCAGACTCAAGATTAAACACTTTAGATCTACCGTCTTTTTCATGTCACCTTCATATCGTTCCAAATGCAGTATTACTTTCTTTCTACCCGTGAAAAAAAGCGAGATGTTAGACAGATTGTCCACACTTCTGTTGGCCATACCATTAAAAGTGGATGAATTTATACTGTCAAGTTCCAAAATAGAACTTCATGCATTGATTCATAGCTCTAGCTCTATGCAACACTTGTATACCTCATTCCAAGTCTTCTGAAGCCATACAATAACTGTATATGTGTAAACTAACCAAAAAATGTATTTGAACTATTATTAAAAATATCGCCAAGTCTTCAATAAAGTTTACTTAATGCATTAGGTATCATGAACTAACAATAAATGGATTTATTCTACAAGGCTACTGTTTATTTCTATAGACACTACCATTCAAAAGTTAAGGCTCTATAATCTATAAATATTTTTTTGAAAGAAATCTCTTATTACTCACTAAGGCTGCATTTATTTAATCACAAATACAATAAAAACAAATATATTTTAAAATGTTTAAAATTTAAATATACTACAAATTCGTTTTCTTATGATGGTTAATTTTCAGGAGCCAATAATTCAGTCTTCAGTGTCACATAGTCCTTCAGAAATCATTGTGATGTGCTGATTGGGTGTTTAAAGGGGTCATATGATGCGATTTCAAGTTTTCCTTTCTTTAAAGCATGTCAACATATTATGTTACACCAAATACACAAAATAATGATCTTTAAAAAAGCATCATATGACCCCTTTAAGAAATATTTCTTATTATTATCAATAACCGTTTTTGCTGCTTAATATTATGTGTAAACCATGATACATTTTTGTCAGGATTCTTTGATAAATAGAAAGTTCAAAAGAACAGCATTTACTTAAAATATAAATATTTTGTAACAATGTAAATATTTGTTAACGTAATGTATCCTTGCTAAATAAATGTATTCAGTTCTTTCAACAACAACAAAAAAAAAAAACTGTCCCCGACTCGAAACTTTTGAACTGTAGTGTATGATAATGAAGTTTTAATATTTTGAAGCTCATGGCAACTAATGCATTACCTAATGTTCACAAATCGAAACTTGTAAAGTTTTATGGAAATAGCATGTAAAAATCTCAGTTTTCTCATAATCCAGCAGATGGCAGAGCCACACATTATGACTTTATCAGGATTTCACTGCTAATACCAGACGTTGTCCAGGAGGTGGCAGTGTGGCCTCTTTCTGATGGTTAATGTGTGTTGTAGATCATGTATCGCAATGTGGTTTTAGGTGACAGTCTGTTGAGTTGTTTGAAACTGAATAAAAAGAGAGAGATGTCAGTTGAGTTTATGAAACCTTTAGCACTTTAAAGTGGTTTAGGATCCTAAAAAGTGCCTGTTTTTATTTTCTAAGTAAAAAAATGACACCAGCGTGTGAATTAAAAATCGCTGAAATATGTCCAGTATGTTAACTTCTTTGAATTTCTTTTAATCACAAGTTAAACAAGAAACTTCTGCACACAACTGTATTTACAGATAGGGAAGGCGAGTTACAGTGGTACTCGTTCTGTCAATGAATTGTGCTCATTAAAGACTCTGACATCCTTTTCACCCACGCTTTTATCACTCATCTTCTGTCTCTTTTCCCCGTCCTTCTCTATTTTGCACTTTCACTTCTTTCCGTCTCTTGTTCAGCTTCCCCTCCCATGCCCCAGTTACACTCACAGTGATATCTAGTGTCCTCATTTCTCTTTTTACCGCCCCCTCTCTATCTATTTGCCCACATCTGAGAACACACACACACAAAAAAAAAGAGTACAATACAAGAGATGCAAAAACGAAGGGTTGGAGGCAGTAGTAGTGCGGGAAAGGGGCAGAAAGAAGAAGGAAGACATTATTTGGGGGGAAAGAGGAGTTGTGTACTCTTTTTGAACTGCTGCCTCTGGTTTTAATCAGCTTTGGGATCGCAGCCATATTCTTATCAACTGTAATTACGCTGTAGAAATGTAAATAACATTACACAACTGTTTCTGATGAGGCCTGTTGGGACCGCGGGCATGCATGCTCCTGCAGATAAAAAATAGCCAAAAGAAGGGGCCATATAGAAGGACCATGAGGAGGATTATGGAACATGTGAAGTCTGAATGATTGCCTGGGAAAAGAGAGAGGCAGAAAGAAGGAGGGGCAGAGGGTTAGCTCATGCTACAACAATTTAAAACTACAGATAAACAACAGTTAAAGTACTCGTTCATCCAAAAATGAAAGCTCTGTCATCATCTACTCGCCCTCACGTCACTTGTTATATTATGATAGCGCTTTATTTGATATATTATTATTATATTACTAATAATATATTATGTTATATTAAAATTTTACCTAACTTTCAGTGATAAAAAAATAGCCTAGTGATTTTAACAAATATTTCAAAAATGACTACTATCTTGAAATGTGTTTTATACTGTATATTAATGAGTAATATATTATATGAAAACCGTATCTTAAGTTCCAATAATAAATAAAAATGAAATAAAGAATTCTAGCCTAATTGGTCATTAATAAATTAAATAATAATTTATAATATATTATATTAAAAATGTAATTTAAATTCTGAGAAAAATAAAATAAAGAATTAAAAACTATTTGTTTATTAACAAATATAAATGACATTATTGTATTATATTGTATTATATTATATTAGCTCTGTTATTGTTTAAAAATGCCTGGCTTAAAATGAACCAAAAATAGGTTGTAAACTAAAAATCAGACACATCATTACTAGAGGCATCAGCAATAATCAAAATATATATTTTTTAAATTAAAAAAAAGTTTATTATTTAATTATAATTTATTCAACTTATTAATAAATGTTTATTTATTTAACATATCAATAAATGTTAATTTACAACCTATTTTGGGTTCATTTTAAGCAAGGAATACAATATTTTTTTAACAATAGTTGAGTTAAATAAAACTACCCAGAAGATTGGGTTAAACATTTAACCCAACCACTGGGTCAAAACAGCCCAATCGCTGGGTTCGTCCATATTTCACCCAGTGCTGGGTTGTTTTTAACCAAGCTTCTTTTTTTTTTTAGTGTAGGAGGACTGGGATATGACATGATATAGCTGAAAACTAACAGTATATGAGTGAAGTCAAGTCACCTTTATTTCTATAGTGCTTTATACGATACAGATAGTGCCAAATTGACTTTACTGAGATAAACCGGAATAGCAGAATCATTTATGGGAACTCAACTATGGAGACAGTTCAGATTCTGCTGTAAAGCAGCTCTACAAGACAATAGTTTCAACCAGTGTTAATATTGTTAGGTTCATTTTGATCAATTATTTTGCATACCTTCCCAACACTCAGAGGGAATGTGCAGCTACAGGCGAGTAAGAAGAATTATTTGAGTGGACAGAGAAATGGTGGTTTGTCACAGTTATGGACAGTGTGCTAGACATGAGTGTGTTCTTCACTCCCAGCTGAGGACAGGCACAGATTGAGGTCATTATCACAGCTCACTGCTCACATTTCTAGAACTGTAGCAACCCAGAAGCCCTCACGTGCTTCCCTTCGCTACTGTGAAGCGATCTAGACTCAAGTGAGTTCAGTGAACCTGTGCCCTGATGTTTTACTTTTCAATGCAGTTGCAAATAATTACTGAGATGAACAAAGGCCCAAGATCTAGATTGCATCACATTCATTTTCTAGAGATTATTTTCAGAAACATTAAAAATCTTAACTTGAAAATTTTTGCACAGTATATATATATATATATATATATATTCAGGATTATTTGATGAATAAGTACAACAGCGTTTTAGTGCCATGTTAAAAAAATTATTTAAAAAAAATCTAAGAATATTTTGAGAGTATAGCCTATATTGCATATGCAAATGGCCCAGATTGGAAGCACCGGGAGAAATTCCTAATTACTGAGATGAACAAAGGCCCAAGATCTAGATTGCATCACATTCATTTTCTTTGAGATCTCTTGCATTCATTCTTTCTTTCTTTAATATCTAATTTGTCTTTATTAGAGTGAAATGAGAAGACATGCAGATCACTCTCTTTTCTTGATTTGTATTATTGTCTTATATGTGAAGTTTTTGCCCTCTGCCTTTGTACAATTTATGTGGAGCACTCACTTGTCTTCCATCCAAAGGAAGGAAAAGTTTATTTGTGCCTCGTTTTCTTTCTTCCACCCCCCTCTCTGCATGTCTTGCTTGTCTCTCGTTTTCTTTCTGTCTCTCTTTTTCCAGAGTAGATTGATGAGTTGAATTCACTCTCAAAACTCTGAACAATGTTGTAGTGCAGCCAAACCTAAGCTCAAATTTCTTTTAAGCATGACAACATCTCTCCTTCATTCATCATCCATCCTTTGCTCTTTCTCAATCCATCTTTTTTATCTGTATCGCTCTCAATTCTCACTTGTTTTTACATCAGTCTGTTAGACTGCTGGCTCTGAATATATTAGTTGTTTTTTTTGTAAAATGTGCACCTAATTCAAAGTCATTATAAAACCTTTTCAGACATAGAAAGCTGCAGGACACTCCCTTGTTTTAAAGGTCTAAATTTCCCTACAGTTGTCTTGCCTTACACCTGAGACAGTGAAGTATCAGCAAACTTTTCTCTGAATGAGCAGAATAAAGTTGATTCAGAAATAGTTCATTTTTCATTTGATTTTTTATTTTTTTTATTTAAGCTTTTAAGCTCTTACTCTAAAGCTCTTATCAATTTGGAGTAAAATATAGCTTATTGTGTGTTAGTCTTTTAGTAATTTAGTAAGGTAATTAAAATCAGTAAGGTTTCAGTAAGTTTTAGTAAGGTTATGTGTTTTCTATTTAATATGTTTTAAAATTTAATTTATTCCTGTGATGGCAAAGCTTAATTTTTAGCAGCTATTACTCAAATCTTCAATGTTACATGATAGAAATAATTTAGAAATCATTCTAATATGCTGTCCTCAAAAACATTTCATAATATTGTCCATGTTGAAAAGAGTTGTGCTGCTGAATATTTTTGTGAAAATTGATATATAAAATGTATATATTTTTTGTGAAATATATATAGTGCCATGTTAAAAAAATTATTTAAAAAAAATCTAAGAATATTTTGAGAGTATAGCCTATATTGCATATGCAAATGGCCCAGATTGGAAGCACCGGGAGAAATTCCTAAGTCTCAGCTTTCAAATTCTGTCAGTTTTATAGTGAAATACAAACAATTTGTCTTACAATAATGTGTTTTTCACGCTCTTTAATGTGGCGTGACAGATTGCTGTATTCGCCTCAGTTTAAGGTCAATGTAAATCAATCATCTTTCTGATTACAATATTCGTTTCATTAAATTAAGCTAATTTTTTTTTAATGCCTTCTGATGTTCCTTCACGTTTATATCGTGCTATAACTCGAAATAAAGAGGAAAAACACATTTATGATTTGTATTTCGTGATAAAACTGACAGAAATTTAAAGCTGAGCTGTGTTATATTAAAAGCAGCGATTACTGTCACATCAAAATATTTTGACTTTATTCTTATAATTTTGACTTTATTCTCTAAAAATTTCGAATTTATTCTCATAATTTCAACTTTATTCTCGAAATATTTTAATTTTATTTTCATAATTTTGACTTTATTCTCTAATTATTTCCACTTTATTTTCGTATTGCTACGGCTTTATTCTCGTAATTTCGACTTTATTCTCAAAATATTTTAACTTTATTCTCGTAATTTTGACTTTATTCTCAAAATATTACAACTTTAATCTCGAATTATTTAGACTTTATTCTCGTATTGCTACGACTTTATTCTCATAATTTTGACTTTTTCTCAAAATATTACAACTTTAATCTCGTAATCTTAGATTTTTTCCCCTTTTTTAGCATGGCACTAAAACGCTGTCTTAAATAAGAACAGTATTTATTTGAAATAGAGTTTTTTGTATATTATACAAATATTAAAGGCCTTTATTATCACAATTTAATGCATGCTTGCTGAATAAAATAGTAGTGTAATAATGTTTTAGCATACTTATTTAATTAAACACTATTGCCACAGTAAGTAGTACTTCAGAATGTACAGTACAGCTTTAATCCCACACAGATTTGGTGAAGTTGTTTAGTTGTGTATGTCTACATCTATAGGCTTTCGCTAATGCAGATTGCGGGTCTTATCATGCTTGTGTGCTGTATGTCTGTTTTGTGTTTTCAGCACCGGTTTGTCAGAAGTGTCCTGCACCTGCAGTCTTTAGAAAATAAACCATTGAAAATGTCTTTCATAACATGTTATATAAGCATGGATGAGACTAAACAGACGTTTCCTTACACCACCCGTCTGTTATAGCATGACAGAAAACTGCCCTGCTTCACACACACACATACACTATAATTCCAGATGTAGCGATACACTGTACTTTTCTGAATTCATGACACAAAGGTATCAAAAAGTCGTCTTGTAAGCTAACAAAAGCAGAGTTAGTTTTGACTAACCCAAATGGGGCAGCGCTGTGTCCGCTATCTTCCAATCAGAGCTGCTGTCTTGTGGTCCAGCCTAAAGGGAAGAAACATTTGTTCATTTCTAATTAGGGGCAGGAAATGTTTGTTCATATTGGATTGGGTGGGCCTCCTTCAGATTTCTTGGCACATTTACACAAACTATTTAAGCATCCTGTTTAAATTCCTCTTCTCTGAGTAAAGAACAAAGTACACAGAAGTGGGCTTTTGTATACTTACATAAGAGAACTTTGTTCATCAGAAGTCACGGCTTAAAACAATTTTTGTCAGTGAGGGAATGTGGAGTATGCCAGTGTGATATTTCTGGCAGCATTTCATTATGTATGCTGTATTAAATACCAACCACCACTTAACAATTAAGATTTATTTAATATACCTATATCCTGATTGATTTAGTATAATATTCATGTGATTATTTCTCAGCATAATGCTTAAGGACCATAATATTGGTGCAAAATAAAAAGGTCCTTTCATGTCAAAGTACTTAGGGTTTTGTTCAAATTCTAATAAACTTAAGCTTGTGGCATGCTGTGATGTATGCTTTTACATTTAAAAGACTTTTAAAAGTTTAATGATAAATCTCATTAACAAACAAAGAATAATGGATTTTATCCAGATCTTAAAAAAGATGCTTGGAGGTGGGCGCTTTGAACTTAAGCCAATAAGAAACCACCTAGAAACCCTCAACAACCTCAGAACCCACTCTGATTAGCATTAGCATACCAACATCCTGCCAACCACTCACTATAAACTAGCATCATGCTGTTGACTTTTGCACTGGCAAGTATTACTTCTGTCCTGTGTGGCTGGTGAAAAATCTAAATATAGAGACTCCATAGTCAGATAAGAGATTAGGAAATCATTTAGCAACTCATTCCTTGAATTAGATGATATATGATTTGTTATAATGTATATCACCTTAAATGAAATTTTGCTCACCCTCAGGTCATCCAAGATTTTGCTGATTGAGTTTTTTTCTTCATTGGAACAGATTTTGAGAAATTTAGCATTGCATCACTTGCTCACCATTGGATCCTCTGCAGTGAATGGGTGCCGTCAGAATGAGAGTCCAAAGTAATCCACATGACTCCAGTCCATCAATTAATGCCTTGTGAAATGACAAGCTGCATGTTTGTAAGAAACAAATCCATCATTAGGCATTTTAACTGTAAACTATCGCCTCTGGCCAAAATTCCAGAGTCCATAGAGTCCATAATCCATAATAACGCTTCTTTCAGTGAAAGATTTCACCCACTCTCAATCCAAAACCATTCTAAACGAATATCTTGGTGGATTTTGATGTGTTTTCGCTTGTAACCGGTGCATATTTCTCTCCTGATTCTCCTGAAGATTACTTTTTCACTGAAGAAAGCAATATTATGGATAGAGGACTCATATTTTAGCAAGTTAAAACCGTCCTAATGATGCATTTGTTTACAAGCATGTAGCTTTTCGCAAGACGTTAATTGATGGACTGGAGTCATGCGGATTACATGTGGATTATTTGTTGTGTTTCTATCAGCTGTTTTAACTCTCATTCTGACAGCACCCATTGACTGCAGAGGATCCACTGGTGATCAAGTAATGCTAAATCCTGGAGCGTGAGTAAAGTTTCAGTAAATGTAATTTTTTTGGTGATCTATTCCTTTAAAAAAAGACTTAAGATAGTTGTGTTGAGCGTGTATTCATTTTTTGTTTCCTTATAATCCCTTGACCTTTGCTGTGTGCTTAGCAGCACACAAGCTTTCTTGTGTGTGGGAGGATGTGTGTGACCAAACTGGAACCTTTTGGACCCATGAATGAGCGGTACGTCTGGCGTAAAAAATCACCACGGTCAAACATGGAGGTGGACCGGTCTTGATATGGGGTTCTTTGCTGCTGCAGGAAGTGGAAATCTTGACTGCATGAAGGACATAATGGATTCATTAGAGTATAGGAGAGAATTGAATTATTGATAATAATTCATTTAAAATATTTTTTTTAACTAGAAGTCTATGGCATGTCCCCATGTACAGCTTATAGCCAGGTAAATGTTAAATTCTGCAGGATTTCATGTAGCTTTACCAGAATTGCTTTTATCTGAATTGGGGACTGTTTTATCATAAGGCCTCCATAAAAGATCTCCACTTCCTGATCATAAATGATGTGGATAAAGAGAACGATGTGTATAAGATGTTTATACAGTTTTTATATTGATATGCCCTTTTCCTAATTCATAGAATAGGCACACAAACATCCCAAACTTTCCTTTCTTATTTCCTTATTAGTTACAAGAAATGTTTCCTATAGTGTGAGTCAGAAAGTGTAATCAGAAAGGTGATCAAGTAAGCATATTTGTTAGCTCTGTTGATTGTGCATTGGCATGTGCAGTGCTTAACTGTTATCTGGACACATGTAATGTGAAACTACAAGAGGATTGACAGTGAAACTATAGATTATTTTAAATTACGCTATTACTGGGTGTGGTGTCTGTTCTATGAAAATCAACTCTGTCTTTTTGTCTTATTTTTTATTCTTTCTCTGTCTCTCTAGGATCGGTTGTTCTTTGTTATGGAGTATGTGAACGGAGGAGACCTGATGTTTCAGATCCAGCGCTCACGAAAGTTTGATGAAGCTCGTTCCCGTTTCTACGCAGCTGAGGTCACATCTGCGCTTATGTTCCTGCATCAACACGGCGTCATCTACAGGTATACACACCCACAGTAAAAATCAAGCCAGTTTTACTTACTTAATGTGTCATGTTTATGAATGACGAGTGATTTCTTTTATGAGATGGATTTTCAATGGTAAAAAAGTAGTGCAGAATTTTATCAATCAGAAATTAATTGGTTTGTGAAAACTGGTCATTTCATACCACAAACTAGGATATGAACACCTATTTAAATCAAAAATAAATTAATAAAAATACACACTTCACCTTAAAAGTCAACATAAAATCACAATTGACAATTTTACTTTCTTAATGCAAAAATAAATATTTATTAATAATAAATTCTAATTATTAATACCTACATATAGCCGTCTCTGCATACTAAGGTAGGATAAGAACACTTATTTAAAAGAAATAAACAAAGAAAAAATGCACACTTCACCCTTAAAGTCAATTTGCAATCACAATTGACTGTTTTTACGTTCTTATTGCACATTTATGTTCATGTTGGTATTGTCCACAATATTGACAAAATTAAGAAAGTTTGATTTGATGTTTAATTTTTGGTGACACTAACCGTGTAGAAATTGTACACTTCAACTCTAAATACAAGCACTAGTCATGCCATGAGATTGCAGTGTGACTTCAGCTCCCACAAATGATGCCAATCCTACCCAGGCATCATGCTAACTGGCACTCAAAGACTTTAAATGCTTGTTTTTGTTCCAGCTCTGAGGCAGATGCTAATCCTATTTGACCTGTGAGAGTTAGCAGAAGATCACGCCTTTGTTAGTGAAGCGTTTAGTATCAGCTTACCTCTCTCAGTGAAGTAAAGTCCTTATTCAGGCCAGAGCGGGTTTCCTGCTCCCCAGGCACAGCTGAAGATACAATGTACACTGTGTGCTAACTGCAGCTCTGCGCTCCTGGTACAGTTCAGACAGAGCTTTTATTTTTTGAACAGAAGCCAATAACATTAAACAATTGTGAAGCGTCTCAAAGGACTAATCCTTTGACACACATGCACACTACGTTCATACAGCAGTATAATACAGTTTAAGTGATCAGTATGGTGTGTTCACACTCGCTTCAGTTATGAAAGCGAATCAAATGCATTCAATGTTCTCATATGTACAGAACAACTTGAGAGTCACACCTGTTGATTAAAACTGTTGTCAATCCCAAACTGACTGTGTGAACACAGCCAAACACATTCATTCCTTCCCAGGTACAAACTTGTATCTCGCTGTCTTTCCGTCTGTTTATCACACAATCAGACTTACAAGCAAAAAGATATGCTGAAAGCTGAATACAGAGGCTGCAATGGGTCACATGCCCTGAGAAAAGCACAAAAGCACTATTCCTTATCCAAAGCTTGGGTAGATACTGTAGTACATTCCTGCTGAGACCTGCAAAGAAACAAGAGGTCAAACTTCACACGACCCCCATTTGAGACAACCATCATTATCTTCCCTGTTATCATGTCAAAAGTGCTTGCCATTTCAGTGTCTTGATGCTTATATTGATTTGTTCTAGTCCAATAAAGGGTTTTTGAGTTCATTAATGCAAGTGAGCTGCATTGCCCAGCTCTTTCTGCAGGGTTTGAATTTTGTTAATAGTAGTCATTTGAAGATAGATCTGATTAATGGTTGCAGGAACACCAATGCTAAATTCCTCACTGAATTATATTAATAGTTCATTGCATGATTTAAAGATATGACGATCAAATGTTTCCTTATTTGTGGTCTTGTAAATGTATAGATGGTTTTGCATGATAGATATAGCCTCAGGGAAGTGTTGAGGAATGTAAGTGGAGGTAGGATGTATTAGTGGATTACAGCACCTTTCTGAAGAATGAGAGGCCTCTTTAGCCTCCAGCTATTCCAAACCCCCTTTCCACCTTTTCTCCTCCTTTCGTGAGGAGTACAAATTAGGGAGGAAATCCTAAAAAAATATACTGTACGCTTCTAATATGTACAAGTACGGAATGTACACTTCTAGTATATCAGATTTCTGTAAGTGACATGTATTAGATTACTCAAAGTGTATCAAGATCTTGTTATACAGATTATTTTCTATTCAAAAGTTCCATTCAAAAGTTAGGGGTCAGTATGATTTTTTTGGGCAGTAAAGAAATTGAAAAAAATGTATCAAAGTTTCCACAAAAATATTAAGCAGCATATTAATATTAAGTTGTTTTCAACATTTATAATAAAATAAATGCTTTATATCAGCATATTAGAATGATTTCTGAAGGAAATCTGCTGCTGAAAATTCAGCTATGCCATCACAGGAATAAATTATAATAAATTAAGATATATTATATTTATTATCACTGTAATTAACCCAATTATTATAGTTTAATTAGCTCATAGTAAAGGAATCGTTAAATTGTAATGAGTGAATAGTTCTCACTTTAGATTAGGTCACGGAAAATGGGAAAATGTCATTAATTAAAAACCAGCCTTTATTGAACATTAATTGCATTTATATTTACTGTCCCTTTAAATGTTTATAAATACATTAAGGACACACACACACACACACACACACACATGTATTGGCAAATGTGGTTTACAGGGACTCTTCATAGGCATAATGGTTTTTATACTGAACAAACTGTATATACTCTCTCTATAGTTTTATGATACATACAGACAAACCAAAAAATATTCAGAGATCAGATATTGCGAAATTAAGCATTGCTTGGTAATTGGTTGACCTAAATTGGTATTATCTAATTGTGTACTTACATTTAACAGCTGACAGCTATTCAACCTAATTCATTTGTGAGACAGTCTAACAGAAGGATGGCATTATCAAGATGAATTTGTTCTGACACAGTTTAACTCTGAGTTCTAGACTTATTTTATTACCATTTTCTAAACTATAGCAAATAAACTGTGATAATGTGAAGGTGTCTGAATAAATTTTGGTTGGACTGTATATTTGTATAGAGTCTATAAACTATTAATTATCTATAAACTGATAGTTTACAAATAATTTGTAAGTACTTTATTAGTGTATACTTATTATAAAGTGTTAAAGATTGTTTCGCCTTTAAGAAAGGGGAGAAAGACGGTGAGAATGAGAAAGCCAAAGCAAAGAAGTGGTAAATTGTATCTCTTTGGTCTGTTGTGCAGGTCAGTGCTTGTCCTGTGTACAGACTTGCTGTCTGATTAGACCTGTAAACCATCTTGTTTCTCAGCTTTAGCTCACTTTACTCTCTCTCTCTCTGTTCTTGTATGTTTAGCTAAGATTTTTTGACTGGGGCTGATCAGTGGCAAAGCCTCATGTTAAAGTGATGAGGGACTCCATGGAAAAATCACTCTGCACACAAAGGGAACACCGGAAGGCATTTCAATAGGGCCTAATTATGTGTGTACAGTACATGCACATATGTGTATGTGCGAGGGACCATGCATTATGGCATGTGTACGTGTGTGTATAGTTGTCCGGTGGAGCTCAGAGGAAGTGTGGAAGACAAATTCAAAAGGGGTCAGAGAGTCTTTACTTAATATGTGACCTAGAAATATATTAATATCTACATATATAGAGTGAGAGAGAAATTTATTGAGTTTTGTCGCTATCAGATCAGTGGTGTCCGTTGAAAAGCCCTGAACACTGAAGCATATGTTGATCCCTGAGCGGTACACAGTCCACTTTAACTCAACCTGTACTGTACAGCAGACAGCTTCTGGCTTTAGATTGCAGGAAGCTGGGCCGCAGTCCGCTATTTCTATTGGCTATTGTCATGTTAAGTGCATATCACTAAAATCCTTCCAACTTCCATGGTTGCTGTCAAAATAGTACAGTTACATAACCCTGGGTTGTCCCGCCCTCATGTCGTAACAGTGCCTCACAAAAAGATTTGTGCTTGAATGATGCCAGCAAAGAAATGTTGACATTTTTTTGCCAATCAACCATCAAAGGCCAGGCCTGTTTGGCTCTCTGTTGCTATCTTTGTCCTGTACAGCTTCATCGAACTGTTGACACACAAAACACCCATGAACATTTTTTATATATATAAAAACAAGTTGGTTTGTGAGAATTAAAAAGTCTGTTATGCTCACTAAGGCTGTGTTTATGTGATCAAAATACAGTAAATTGAACAGTAATATTGTGAAATATTATTGTAATTCAAAATTACTATTTCCTATTTCAATATATTTTGTAATTTATTCCTGTGATGGCAAAGCTGAATTTTCAGCATCATTACTCCAGTCTTCAGTGTCACATGATCCAGAAATCTCAAGTCTCTGGTGATCAAGAAACATTTCTTCTTGAAAACAGTTATGCTGCCTAGTATTTATATATATATATATATATGTGTGTGTGTGTGTGTGTGTGTGTGTGTATTTTTTTTCCCAGAATTTTGTGATGAATGTTTGAAATAGAAACTTTATAACATTATAAATGTCTTTTTGTCACTTTCGATGTATCCTTGCTAAATTAAAATATAAATTTATTTTTAAAAACACCACTTTTAATAAGCTACTGATATGACTGGAGTCTTCATCTCATGTCAGTGTACATAATTTTAAACATTTCTTTAAGGGTAAAAATGTAAATTTACTGAAAAAAAAAAAAAAAGACTACACTTTCAAGTGTATTGAGAAATGAACTTTAGCTTCCTTACAAATGCATGTAGTCTTTAATCAATTGAATAGTATAAAAATACAACAGCTCATGTTACATTATGATAGACAGGTTTTACAAGAGAAATATGAATCCTTATCTCAGAAGTGTGTAAACAGATGCACACCTGATGAGCCACACCCCGGCTTCTGTATCCCTCAATATGACACATACACATGTAAAACACATAGGGTCATCAAGAAGTCACTGTAGGGTCGTGTACCAAATTGGCTGACATGCTCTGGGACCCAGCATTCTCTCCTCTAACCTTTCCTGCTCCACCTACCTCATTAAAGATGATATCTGTTAGATAGAGCATGACAGAAGCTTATTGGCAGTACACTTCCCTTCAGCCTCAGTCACTCACCTAAAGCAGCCATGCTGCATCTGAAGAAGGTGTCGGTACATCAGCGAGGCTTTGATAACAATGGCTCTACACATTCTTACACGAGCCAGAGCAGATTCTATTCTCAGGTGAATAGTACACTGATATAAGACTCTTCTATGGCTCATTAACTGCAATTCGAGGAAAGCACAGATCACAGAAAGACCAGCCACACTCCGATACGTCTGAGGAGACGTCTTCAAATAAATTGCAGTGTCCCATATCAGTGCAATCCACCCAGATGCTCTCGTTAAAATGACAGGGTGTAAAAATACAGAGAAATATACACTAGATTTGGGTCAATAAGAATTTTTTATGTTTTTGAAGGATGTGTTTTATATGTACCAAGGCTGGATTTATTTGACCAAACATACATTAAAAATAGTAATATTGTAAAATATTATTACAATAAACAAAAAATGTCTATTGTCATATATGCAATGGTGGAAAGAGTACTGAAAAAATTATACTCAAGTAAAAGTACCATTACCTTCCAAAAAATGTAGTGTGAGTAGAGTAAAAGTACTTGTCCAAAAAACTGCTTGAGTAAGAGTAAAAGAGTAGCCAATTTAAAAGTACTCATGAGTATTGAGTAGTGAGTTCACATGCGTACCGAACCGAAAGACCCGTACCGAAACGGTTCGGTACGAATACGTGTACCGTTACACCCCTAGTATTGAGTAGTGAGTACTGAGCTGTGGATTCTACCCCCTCATAAAAAACGCTGTACACCGCAATTTATACATTTTAAAAACGTTGTACATTCTGTAATTCACATTAAGAATATCTTTAAAATGCATCAAAACAGCACGGAAACAATATTCAGTTGAAGTCAGCAGCATCCACAACTGAATGAAACAAAAAGTGTTGAACTTGAAAATTGCAATTGCTAAATGAAGGCGGATTGTATAAAATGGATAAAAAAAAATTATATTAACGCCACGGGTCATCAATAAGGTCTTTCCAACACACTTTTTCACAGCGCGCATCACGCGCTCAAACTCATCAATTTTCTATGCACAATTTGATTTGACGAAAGTCACGAGACCTATTAATATCTCTCTATCCAATCACGTTGATGGATAAAAACAAAATTAAAGTTAAGCATGTAACGACCACAAACGGAGAAAAATAGCAGAGTAAAAGTACCAATACATCACTTAAAATGTACTCTACACTGTATGGGTCAAAATTATTGATTTTTCTTTTATGCCAAAAATCATTAGGATATTAAGTAGAGATCATGTTCCATGAAGATATTTTTTAAATGTCCTACCGTAAATATATCAAAACCTAATTTTTGATTAGTAATATGCATTGCTAAGAACTTAATTTTGACAACATTAAAGGTGATTTTCTCAATATTTTTTATTTTTTTTGCACCCTCAGATTACAGATTTTCAAGTAGTTGCATCTCGGCCAAATATTGTCCTAACCTAACAAACCATACATCAATGGAAAGCTTATTTACTCAAAATTTCTAAAAATTCAAGACTTATGACTTGTTTTGTGGTCCAGGGTCACATTTAAAAATTTGATGTACATCTTTTGGCATATCTGAATTTTCAGTATTCATTATTCAGTTTTCAGTGTCAAGTGATCATTCTAATATACTGATTTGCTATTCAAGAAACATTTCTTATAATTATCCGTTTAAATTTTTGTGGAAACGGTAATACATTTTTTTTTTTTTTTTCAGGATTCTGTTATAAAAGAAAGAACAGAATTTGAAAGCATTTTTTAATGTAACAATGTCTTTACTGTCACTTTTGACCAGTTCAATACATCCTTGTTGGATTGAGAAGACAGGATTTATCAGGCATGACAATCAGATTAGCTCCTCTGAACATTCCTGCCTTCGTTCAGGTTCCAGCCAGTTTGTCCAGGTGCATGTAACACACAACTACACACACAATGTGCACATGCAAAGGAATATACTGGGGTTCTGCACATACCTGTTTTTTATGATATATGCAAATCACTTCACATATATTAATCATTAGTGTTTGTTCCTGCAAATCTGTAATGAAGGAATGAACTGTCTGACCACCTGAAACCATGCAGACACTGCACTAAATCACTTGGCTGACATGGTTGGCATGCCTCATATGAACACGTCAAACTGTCGTGTGACACCCACTAATTATTTAATGTTTCTACATGTTAGAAAAATCTTTTACCACTGAACGCCCTCGGCCAGATACCACTGACTGTGTCCTGGCTGACATGCATTAGGGTCTCATCCTTTAACCTTTAAAATGGCATTACAAAATCTCCACCCTCTGTATGTGTACTGTTTTTTTTTTCCACTCTGCGGCATGGAGCACAAACATCCCCCTGTAGAAAACAAACTATCTGCACTGGGACAAGTCTCTGCAATCACTGCACTTCAGATATTATTGTAATGTGCTCCTTCTGAGGTGTTTGGCTTTAGCCACATCACTTCAGTAAAACACTTCAGAGTTATTAATGCATCTCTATGTCCTCTGGATTGTTAAGTGCAGATTTTAAGTATAAGCTGATGGGGTCGTTGTGTGTGTTGTACTAGTCTGAGGTCAGTAGATTTTTTAAAGAACATTTTATTCAGCGAAGATGCATTAGATTGATTAAAAAGTGACAATAAAGATACTGTATTTATAGTCTTACAAAAGACAAATAATGCTCTTTTGAAGAAAAAAGCAGCACAACAGTTTTTTTAGCATTGATGATAATAATAAATGTTTCTTGAGCATCAAATCAGCATATTAGAATGATTACTGAAGACTGGAATAATGTTCACTGAAAATTCAGCTTTGCCATCATGGGAATATATTGCATTTTATAATATATTCAAATAATTGTAAACTGTAATAATATTTCACAATTGTGGTGGTTTTACTGTAATGGTATTTTTCTGTTTTGCACTAAAGTATCTTATTTTTTTCTGCATGAACAAGGTCTTTTGCGATCTTCTGAAATGAGAATGAGATCTTTTTGCATTTGGTAATGGGAACCTTGGTTAAAAGTCTTTATTATTGTTTAGCAAAATATAATTTCATTTTTGTTGTTGTTGTTCTTATTTTATGGTAAAACATGACAAATAGTTTTGAACTGGAGAGCATAAAAACATTTTCGTAACTTGAAAAAATAAATGTTAACTGAAAATAAAATATATATTTTTTAAAACTCTCATTTTCATTTAGTTTAACTTAATCTAGGCCTACTAAAGTAACTAAAATTTTAACTGAAATTAAAATGAACAAAAAAGAAGATTTGCATGGTTTTTAACAAAAGTGACAAAAACAACAAAATTACCAAAACGTTCATTAAAATTTTAATTGAAAATGGAAAGTATAAAAATAAAAGCTAATAATATAATAGAAACTATAATACAATTTCAGTGATACTAAAATCACTGCTGGAGAGAGGAGTCCTATCTATCTATCTATCTATCTGTCTGTCTGTCTGTCTGTCTGTCTGTCTATCTATCTGTCTATCTATCATCTATATTAGATAAAAAATCATATATCTGTGTAAATATATGTATTAATCTATGTATTATGTTTTTGTAGTTTTAGTTTAAAAGTAGCTGTAGAAATTGACCACATAAAACAAAAAAATGTATTTCCGTTTCTGCCTGCGTTTGGGGATTTTGAGAAACACTGAGCTGTCCAGTACATGATTGACTTCTTCATGATGGCTCAGAATGTTGATGTGCGTGTTGTGAAGTGAAGGGTTTTAACAGCTTACCTGAGGCTGCTGTCATTTTTACCTACACAAATGTTCAGCCCTGAGCACTTCAAACACCTAGACTTGCATGCAGCCATCTCAGGAATGGAACAGAGAGCAGCTTGAGTTATAAATGAGGCAGAGTGCCATGTGTTATTGTTGTAAAGGTTCGCAGAATGGCCCAGGCCCTCAAGGTCCTGTAGATCAGTTGTCAGCTTACTGTCTGACAGGCATGCTGACCCCTTAATAAAACCATTTTAAACAGCCTGGACAATTTCTTAAAAACTTTAAGCAAGTCACAAAAAATGTCAAATATGGTCTAATTGTTTTTTTTTTTTCCCTGTCACTGCAGGGATCTGAAGCTGGATAACATTCTGTTGGACGCTGAAGGCCACTGTAAACTGGCCGACTTTGGCATGTGCAAAGAGGGCATTCTGAATGGGGTCACGACCACCACCTTCTGCGGGACCCCTGACTACATTGCACCTGAAGTACGTCTTGTAAATCATAATGAACATAACCTACAGCTGACGTGTTTGACATAATTTTGAACCCCATTTTTGTGTCTGTCTCGTTCAGATCCTGCAGGAGTTGGAGTACGGCCCGTCGGTGGATTGGTGGGCTCTGGGCGTTCTCATGTATGAAATGATGGCCGGTCAGCCTCCGTTTGAAGCTGACAATGAGGACGATCTTTTTGAGTCCATCCTCCACGATGACGTGCTTTATCCCGTGTGGCTCAGTAAAGAAGCCGTCAGCATTCTGAAAGCTGTAAGCGGTTGGCCCATTTATCATTTGTTTTTCCACTTCTGTTCAGAAATCTTTTCTCTTCCCGCAGTGATATACTGAGCTCCACTGTATGGTCATACACCTGGCTGCACTTTCCTTCTGACCTCTCCAAACTGTTCTCTGTTCATTTTCCTCCCTTTTGTTCCTCATTCATCCCCCTGTTCTGGTATATTTACCTCTGACTTACAAATACACTAATTTTGTGGCATATTTTATACACATACACATACATTTCCATTTTTCTAATATTTGTGCTCTAAAAAAGTTCCAAAAAAATGTCCACCCGAATGAATTAAACCGTCTATTGATTCAATAGCCGCATACCCTCTCTCCAAAGACGTCAACAAAATAGTGTTTCTGATTGGCTCGTTTTTGAGTAACACTTCATAAGAAAATTTTCTTCAGCATTTTTGCCATCATTACGACAGCACGTTGTTTTTAATCTTTTTTTTATAGTTAGATTTTTTTTTTTCATTTTATTTATTTTAATTTAGTTTATTATGACTCCATTATAATGATAAAATCTATGCATTGTCTTTTTAATGTAATGTTAATATTGTTACATTTTTTAAATGTTAAAATGTATTTGTGTATCTAAAAATGTACAATAACCTTTATTAATAAATGCTGTAAAAGTATTCTTATTGGTAAATTATGATACTAAGGCATTAACTAAAATTATTAGCTAGTGAACCTTATTGTTAAGCATTACAGTTCTATGATTGGCTCAAAAGAGTTGGGCCACTCCCCTGACTTTTTTTTTTTTTTTTTTTTTGCTGTTAGAATGACAAGTGTGATTTCTCAAGACATCATTTTCAGTGATATCTTCCTCGTATTTTTTTGTGTCATATTACACAAAAATGCTTAAAGCCCCTTAAACGCTGTTCATATTTACCCCTTCTTTATGAATTATGTAATGTAAAATGTATTCCCTTTCCTCAGTTCATGACAAAGAGCCCCAGTAAGCGTTTGGGCTGTGTGGTGACCCAGGGACTAGAGGAAGCCATCAAAGTCCACCCTTTCTTCAGAGAGATCGACTGGGTCTTGCTGGAGCAGAGGAAGATCAAGCCCCCCTTTAAACCTCGCATTGTAAGCATACATGATTCACACACATTGAATTAACCTATCTCTGTTGCTCAAACAGTTAGCATAGCACTAGCAGCACCAAGGTTATGGGTTCGATTCCCAAAGAAAACACAAACTGGTATAAATGTAGTGTAAATACATTGAATGCAATGTAAGTGGCTTTGGGTAAAAGCATCTGCCAACTGCATAAATGTAAAATGTAAATCATGAAATGCATCACAATTCATAGACATTTTTTCTGCAAAACGCTCCGACACAGCACGCGCACATAGACTTTATCTCTCGTGTTCCTCTTTCTTTAGCGTCTGTGGTCTAGACTGAAAGTCGAATGCCACAACGGCACTTGTCAACTTCTGCTTTCCCATGGCGGGGGGAAGGGCTGAGTGTGTTGTGTGTATGCGTGTGTGTGTATATGTACACAAGTGGGTGCTTTAGATGGAAAGGTCACAGAAAGGTTGAGAGAAAACGCGACCGCCACATGCTCTCTTGCCCTCTGAGTAACTTTGAGCTGGCGTTTTCGTCACCACACTCTCTACAGTATCTACATTTACATACGCACCTGTGGCTTTTAACTGAAAGTCTGCACTGCTTCTTAGAACAGCACTGGGTACCAACTCTGAATCCTTTAATTTTTTTAAAGGATTAGTTTTGATGAAAATAACTGAAAATTCGGTCATCATTTACTGTACTCACCCTCATGTCGTTCCAAACCCATAGGACTTTTGTCCTTTTCATATTTCATTTTAACAAATGTTATTTTTTATGAAATCTGAGCGATTTCTGTCCTTCCATTGAGTCTATTACACCAAAACTTGGCGCTTCAAAAGTTCATAAAGCGTCCATATCCAGGTGCAAATCCATATTAATCAAGCAGTTCAATCCAAGCCTTCTGAAGAAATATTATTGATTTATATGATGAACACATTTAATGCTTTTATTCACATCAAATGTGATAAACAAAAGCTCAGGCATGCTTCTGCAAGATCCAATGAGGTTTCTCTCACGTGTCAAGCAAATACGATCAGTGTTGGGGAGTAAGTACTGTAGTTACATGTAATGGAATTGCATAATTTAATTACAAAATAAATGTAATTGTAATCAGTTACAGTTACTGAGAACAAAAAGGGTAATTAAATTAGTTACTTGTAAAAATGTTAACAATTACAAAGGGGGTTATATTTAATTTTTTTCTCACACACACGCGTTAGGTTTCTGTGAATTGTGGGGACTTTCCATAGACTTCTGTTACTTTTATACTGACCAAACAATATTTTCTATCCCCTAACCTTAAACCTACCCCTTACAGAAAACCTGTTTGCATTGTTACACTTTCAGATAAACATCATTTACTATTTTTAATATTTTTTTTCCCTCCTGGGGACCACAGGCCGGTCCCCCACAATGTCAAAAATTTCAGGTTTTATATCCTTGCATATGTAGCATAAACAAGAACGCACACAAACACTCACACACACACACACACACACACACATCCACTTACAGATTAAATTGTGCTCTAAAATATGAAATAGTTACACTACTTATTAAATTTTAAAGCTGCAGTCCGTAACTTTTGGCGCTCTAGCGGTTAATAAACAGAACTGTGTGCGTCTTGCGGAAGAACATTGTAGCCGGAGCTACTTCTCTCTGTTTATGTCTATGACGAATCACACAGGTACTGGGCTACTCTGCAGCAGTACCTACCCGAACCAGTCTAAATAGTCCGAATATAAACACTTGTTATAGGTGTACCGTAGTGATTCAGGACAAGCCAGAAACACGGTTTGGAAAATGGATTCATGGTGTACTCGCTTATTATATACATTTTTTAAATTTTGAACACAAAAAAGTTACGGACTGCAGCTTTAAATAGGGTAACTTGTAATCTGTAACCTATTACATTTCCAAAGTAACCTTCCCAACACTGAGTACGATTGATCTTCTGCGTGAACCAGGTAGGTTTTTTTCTCATGCGTCAAAAAAGTACGATTGAGCTTCTGCAAGAACCAGTGAGGTCTGTTCTCGCATGTCTAGCAAGTACAGTTGAGCTTCCTCAAGAACCAATGAGGTTTGTTTGATCTCTTTATAAACTTTTTGAAGTGTCAATGTTTTGGGTTAATGGACTTTCTCAGAGGCCTGAGGAGTCTCTCATGTTTCATTAGTGTCCTCATTTGTGTTTGAAGATGAACAAAAGTCTGGCACGACATTTTCATTTTTGAGTGAACTTTTAAAAGCTAAACCTCAGAAAACCTTCATAAAATAATGTATCTCTGTGTCTGTTTTGCTATAGAAAACCAAGCGCGATGTGAATAACTTCGACCAGGACTTCACTCGCGAGGACCCCATGCTGACGCCAGTAGACGAAGCCATCATCAAACAAATCAACCAGGATGAATTCAAGGGCTTCTCCTACTTCGGAGAGGAGGCTTTGTCTTAAAGTCTAACTTGGTGTCTGTCAGCTCAAATATATGTTAAACACACCCACAAACACTCAAAAACCCACATCGCATCGCAATACATGAACACACTCCACAAATGTTCTGAAGACGGGGCTCAGACCGGACCAGAGCAGAACGGCCAGTCCCTGTGGTTCAATTCCTCTTTACTGCTGTTTTTGTTCTTTTATTCTTCTCTAAATCTCCGAAAAGAGAAAAACAAAACTGTACTACACATGGATCTCATCACAGGCCTCAACAAGTTTGACAACCAATCAGAAAACGAATGTTCTCCGCAGCCCAAGGAAGGAAGGCACTACCTTAAACCAAAATTGATGGTGAACATGATTGTACTACAATTTCGGACACCAGTCGGGTCTTCGTAATCCCTCGATGGAAAGGTCTTGCCCTTGAGGAGGAATTTACCCTGCATAAATGACAATTGAAAAATGTTGTGCTGTGCAGTCAAATGCCTTTTTGTGTATTCAGGTGACATTTTAGGAGCAATTTTATAAAATATTCAAAGACATTTGTAGTATATATATATATTCCATCAGTGTTATAAAGGTCCATTTGGAATGATGACCTGCTGTAAATGGGTTGTGTTACGAAGTGTCGCCTGAGTAGGTGTGTGCATGACATGTATGTGTCCTTGTGCATGTGTTTGCATGAATGAGAGCGAGAGGCCCTTGCCCTCCTGAAGCTCTACGGTTGTTTTTATGTTTTGCAATGGCTTTTCATTTGCGCTCGACTGTGCAAAGACTACAGTGTGTGTGTGTGTGTGTGTGTGTGTGTATTTATATATATATATATATATATATATATATATATTTTTTGTGT